GTGTGTGTGTGAGTGTGTGTGTGTGTGTGTGTGTGTGTGTGTTTGTTTGTGAGTGTATGTGTGTGTGTGTGTGTTACTTTTATTTTTAATTTTTTTTTCGGGGGAAGGGGGGTTACCAGAATTTATTTCATTTTGCTAGCATTGCGATATTCACAGTTTATTAATTTCTCTTTGTAAAGTCTTTTCTTTTCAATTTGAGCTAAACTCACTACTTGATGTGAATAAATCATTTGAAGGGCGCAGGCCACTTTCCCCAAAGGCAGGAGCACACAAACAAGAAGGCTGAAGAAAAGAAAACAAGTAAATGCCACTCTTATATGTCATAGATCACGTCTCTCACAACAAATGGATTCAAACATCCTCATTTGAGGCAAACGAAAATAAAGAATAAACTGAATGGCTCCGACTCAGCTCAGTTGAATCCGATAGGCAGTGTGCACTGGGTATAAAATTAAATTAACAAAATTATATGGATGTTTTGGAGTTTGTTTTTTAAAATAATTTTATTTCCGTATATGTGCTAATAATGTGTGGTATTTTATTTAGCCAGGGTTTTCCTTTCAAGGTTGAGCCAGGCTACCTCCTAAATTATCTAAATTGCGTCTGCTGGGTCGCAAAACACTAACAATAAGGTAATGAAGAAATAGCGAGGGACCTAGAGATAATCAAACCTGAGATCAGGATTCGAGTGTGAGTGTCTGAATCTCAAGACCTCGCTGGCCTCTCACGCTCTGTTGTTTTGTGGAAAGTCGCAGGTCAGCAGTTCAAGCACGTACGACAATATCAGTCATAGAATTGTCCATCATGATGATTGTAGTAGTACCAGAGCTTTAATTAGCTAATTCGAATATAGGAGCAACTTCTTCCAGCCTCCTTCACGTTTCCAGAACGGGTAAACGTAAATTATGAAATTCCCTAGTCTAAGAATAAGTTGAAGAGTCTTTCGCACATGACGTCATAACGATCCATAAGTGTCCTTATGAAAAGTGGACACGACGATTCCGAAAAGATAGCTGTTTACTTTTACCCCGAAAGGAATAAATAGGAAGCTAAAACGAGCGTCCGTTTTCAGAAAACTATTTTTAGAATACTGCATGCCAGTAGATGCGATCCTTTAGGTCCCGAACATAAAAGACGCATTAGACTGTGTGGTGGTGTTAATCAACTGAAAAGTGTGAAGTGTTTTACG